TGTATACAAGGCAAAGCTTTCAATGTTAGAGGACTCCACACTTCTTGCCATCATGAGCTTCTTTCTGCTTTCTTATCTTCTAACTTAAACAAAGGCGTCCTTAGTGGTAGGGAGAGTCTTCATCCCCATGATTCGTTCTTTGACCTCATCTAAGTTCTTATTTAGGCCAAATAAGAACTTGATCATCATTTTTTTATCCACTATTGTTTTATACATCATGGCATCTTGAGGATATTTCCTTACATGTATCATACATATCTAACTATAACCAGTATCTTGATAATGTGAGTATTGAGTAACCCTTGACTCTCCTTGTCGGAACTCTTGCAGTTTTGTCTCAATTTCAAACAATTCTGCAATATTTTATGTATTGGAATAAGTCTAAGAAGCTGCTTTCCAAGTCTCCCATGCTTGTTGTAAAGTACGAGAATTTTTCGAACTTTTGGGGTCATAGAGTTGATCAACTAAGACACGATCATATGACCCCCAATATTCCATGAGTGATGGTTAGTATCAGTGAACTCAGGAGTTGTGCCCTCTCTTATAAGATGTTCATTTCTTCCCTTTCTACAAATGTACATAAGCACATATTAGGACAATGTAGAAAGTTAAGGTAGCGAGTATCAGGGCTATTTTGACAGAATTTTTGGACTATGATTCAGAACTAACATCCAAAGTTGAGCTAAACATTCATTCAGTATTTTTTCATAAACCCTTTACATGTTCAGAGCTAGAAAAAATAGGCTGGCTGCTTTTCATATGAGAGATGACCTGCAGGAAAAGATTGGCGGCTGTAAGGAGGACGAAGCAGTAGAACGCTAACAAATGAGGACTACTACATGGACAACAAGAGAAGCCAATAGATGAGGAATAGTTGGGGCGAGAAAAAACGACAATTCACCAACCAAAGGAACGATCAAAAGGCGAGATACGCTGTCGAGCCCTTTGCTACAAAACCAAGGTTGAAGCATTTCAAAAGAAACTCTTTCTTGGCCTTTGCAGAGATTGCGAAGGCAGTGGCGTTCGAACAGAGACACTGGCTTCTTGGTTGAGATGGAGAATTGCAAGTCGTGTTAAGCCTTCCACGAGATTTACTAGAAGACAGCTAATATGATGGCATGAACAACGAATGACAGGTTCGACCGATACGCTCGACTGATACATTGACACGAATGATGGTAGAGGCTTTCGAACCCAGAGAGACGTCAAGTACAGAACAGAGACAACAATGAAATTAGGTTTGTCTCTGATATCATGAAGGAAGATGTGAGTGAAAATATTCTCCTATTCCTTAATCAAATTAAAACATCTCTCCTCATATAATGAATAAACCTTGCGGAAAACGTAATTCCTACGATTACACCTTACCAAAGATATAACAACGACAAAGGAAAAAAATACATTAAAATAAGAAAAAATAGACGAGAATAAATCTAAAATAGGAAAGGTAGAATTCCCCAAAATTGATCCATGTCCAATTTGTTGTGTATAATTTTTGTTCAGTCGAAGAAAATTTTGGACTCAATATTTAATATATGCATGTATGTATGTATGTATGTATGTATGTATGTATATATATATATATATATATATATATATATATATATATATATATATACATATAAACAATTATTGATGGCGTCGTCTCCCTCGCTCGACTTTGCTAGGGTTTCGGCCGATGGCGAACCCTAGCAACAGTTAAGGCTTCGGCTTCGTTGTTGCCTCTTGGCTTCTTCACGCTCGTTTCTGTTTTGTCTCCCCCGCTTCTTCCGGCTCTGAGACGAGGCTCGTCTCCCGCTCGCGTGTTCTGCGCTCGATCCTTTGCGGCCCTTCTCGCCGCTCGAATTTCTGCGGCTCAATTTCGCGGAAACTGCTCGCGATCGCAATTTTTGTGTTCTCTGCGCTCGTCCCGTCTCACCCCGACGTCCCTTAGCTTCGGCTATTTCGACGCGATTTTTTCCCAGTCTATTTTCTTCTCTAAACGTTGCAACTATCTATGAAGATGGTTTCGGACGAATCATATGTAGCTGCTCTTGCCAGTGTCCATGCCTCAGGCACACTAAAATCATCATTTTTCCCTCCTTCGTTTGAGTGAGCGGAGGACATCAAGAAACCTGCTAGGGAGAATGGGAAGTCGAACATTTTTTCTTACAGAAGCTGAAGGTATTCAACTTGTTTCTTTCTGAATTTGGTTGGGAAATTTCTATATAGTCATCCCAAAATGAAGCTCATTCGCAAAAAATTTGAACTTATGCACCTTGTTGGAGAATAGAAAATCGGGCTATTAGATGGGAGACATTCTTTTTCAAATTAGCAATGAAAAATATTACATGCGCTTATTTGCTAGAAAGATAATATGGATTGATAACAGAGGAATGAAGAACAGAGTAATGAAGATTCTGAAATGGTCTGTGGATTTTGACCACAGACGAAACCGCCAATCATTCTGATTTGGATTCGTCTCCCTGGTCTGAAATTTTATTATTTTTCTCAAAAAGTATTATACTTTATTGCCTCAGTTTATGGGAAGTCACTCAAGACGGACATTCCTACTTTTAATTTGTCCCGTCCTTCTGAAACCAGTGTACTTGTTGAAAGAGACACATTTCACCCGCTTCTGAGGAAATCTGGTTGGGCACACAATATCATGGATATTGACAGAAGGTAGAGATTGAACATTTTCCGTCGTATTGTTCGAACTGTCGTATGTTCGGACACTCTAGTTCTCAATGTCACCATCTACACCCCCACCTCAAACCAAAAAAACAAGCTGCTCCGCTAGAGGCTGTGATTCCATCTCCTTCTGATCAGACTGACAATATGACAACTATTCAATCCCCAGTTGTAGCTCCCTCGTCTTTGGAACCTCCTATCGTGGGGGAGAGGGAGTTTCTTTAGACCCCGCCTATCCTAGAACCTATCACTGATAATACAGGTGGAAATACTTCTAGTACTTCACAATCGCCTCATCAGGTCTAGTAAGATGATAATATTACTCAGGTTCATGGGGATTACAACGTGCAACGACCTACACTTATCCGATCACCTTTGGAATCTACTGATCAGATGAGTCAATCATCGGATGAGGAATGACAGGTCTACACATCTAGGAGGAAGAAGAAGAATGAAGATCTACTTGAGCTCAGGAATCTGATGGATGATACTTTGGTTACTACGGGCAATGAGACACACCTTACCATTTTGTTAGCCGCTCATTTCCGAGAACTAGAGGCAGGAGGACACTTTTGTGCCCTTTTGTGGCTTTCTGGTTTTTTACCTTTTTGTATCTTTGTTTTATCTGAGTTTTTGTGTGTGTTGTATTGTATGAGTTGGGCTTTCTTTTAGGTCCTCTCATACAACATTTTCGTATCTTTTTTGTATTAATATATTTGCCCTCAGACTTTTTCTAATATATATAATAATTCAAACATTCTGTAGAGGCCCGGGTACTTATTTGTTGCAGTGATTTCATGGAGAATAGTGGGTGCATATTCATGTATCTTAATTCCATAATTGTAGCTCGTTGTATAACCTGTCTTATCTATGTATTTGTTACTTGTTACTCATAGATCTAATTTGAGAAAAAGCCCCAAAATAGTCCCCCGACATTTAAAAAGTGTCCAATTTTGTCTTCGAGTTTTAAAATATTTCAATTTAGTCCCAAATTAGTAAAAGTTATTCTAAATTAGTCATAAATTTAATTTTCGGTTACATTTAATGTTGCCCTTCACATATTGACGGTTGGATAGGTGATATACTTATTAAAAGCATAAAATATTCACTGGATAGAAAAATTGAAGTATTCACTATTAAGTGAATTTGTTTTTTTTTTTAAATTTGACTAAAATTTAAAAGAAAGGAAAAAAAGGTCATTTTTTATATAACATTTAAATTTTAATTATTTGAAGAAGTTAATATTATTATACTTTTATTTTTCAATTTTTTATTCAAATATTAAATTCATAACAAATTTTAGAGAAACTCGTGAACTATATAACGAAAAATTTGATTTAATGAATACATTTTTTTTTTAATATGGCCAGTTTCTATAATGTTGTGCAATAATAAACACAGGAGTGGTACCACCAGAAGATTCTGCCACCTTCATCCCCTTTTCCAATTTGTGGTGACAAGTTTTTTAGTTATTTAAATGGAGCATATCTCTATCTACTTTTAAAAAATAATTTTAAAGTATTATTTTGATATGTCTAGCTAAAAAATTCAGGATCCTGAATGATAGCTTTATTATTTCGGCTAATCTCTTCACAAATTGTGAATAGATGGATTTGCCCTTCAATATCTGAAGGGCACTGTTAAATTTAACGGAAAGTTTGATTTAGGATTAATTTGGAATCACTTTTAATAGTGTGGGACTGAATTGGAGCATTTTAAAACTCAGAGAATAAATTGGGCACTTCTTAATAGCCGAGTGACTATTTTGGGTTTTTACTCGATCTGATTTATTTAAACTTTGTAACCAATTTACTTGAAAATTATGGAAACTTATTTAAACGACACTTCACAGCTTGACCTCACATAGCTTTTCAAAGTACTGATGGAGTCCAAATTCACTCTATTTGCTGAGTTTTTCTTCAGAAATTTAAGGGTGCTTCTTTTTATCTTGGGATTGTTGTTCCCGAAAGAATTGGTTATTGCACGTATCAAATTTTTTAGTATGCAATTTAAAAAATAGCTTTATGTTCTTTACAATCCTATCTAAAATGCTGTTTTATAAATATATTCAACAAATTTTTAGCTTCTAAAATGTTTTGTTTTTTTTCCAATATTCCAAAAGACAC